CTCAAGAAACCCAGATCTATGCGGGGCGTGTGTGACATGGCTATCTCGAAAGTGTCCTCTACGTCTAGGGACTGGAGGATGTTGAAGTCCAGCCACGAGTCTCTCCTTGAGGTCCCCACTTCGGCGTGCGAAGGAACAAAAGCCTCTCTGGCCCCGAACTCCTCAACTACAAAGGCGTCCTTTACTTCTGCCTCAGTAGCCCTATCAGGGTCTTCCTCCAAATTCTGCTCAACCTCTTGTTGCGTTGTCTTATCAAAGAGTTTAGACCACTGCGAAGGGTTGAAAGGTTGAGGGAGCTGTGAAAACTTCTTGTACCCTGTTGTGTAGTCCAAGAGAAGGTGAGCGGCTCGGCCAAACCCGTCGTTGCCGACAAACTTCCAAATAGTTATGAGGTCGGCAAAGTGTACCAAAGACCAAGAAGGAGGGGCGACTTCCCGGGCAGAGACGTCTGCACAAGAAAAAAGGTTATTAACACTTGCAAAATATCCTAAGGACAGTAAAAAACTAGACTCGAAGAAACCGACGTACTTGTCGTTCTTCACTCAAGGGGGCACCTCAAACCATCATACTCGGGACCGGTCCCCCGCCCCTAAGATCCATTGAAGATCAAGAGGTCATCCTTGTACCCTTTGTCCGAGTCAGGGAGGTGAGTTACTAGGTACATGGATGGATCCCTGACTTTGAGGTAGAAATTTTGCTGAGACATGACCCTCAACAGGGAGTAGCAAAAGAGAATATCGTTGAGCCCAACGTTTATCCCGAGACAGTTATTAAGCTCTAAGACCCCCATTATTATCCTAAAGACATTAAGGCAACACTGCCCGAGGAAGAGGTTGAAATGGGAAAGGAACTAGAGGAGTAGAGGAGTAGAAGAGGCAGGGGGAACCTAATTCCACCCTCTATGATTGTTTTGGTGTAAAAGGGCATCTCATCCTTGGCCTCGATATTACGGTTATACAAAACTGGGTCGTAATCTTTTATACCTACGTTTTGGGGAATGTGATACCGGGCCCTAAACCTATCGATCTGCTGGTCTCCCCGCACTCTGTACTTCCTTGGCCTTAAGGAACTAGCTAGGGGATCCTCAGTGGCAGGGCGACGTCGGGGCATCTCCAATTAAAATAAAAAGTAGAGGGGGAGCAAAAAGAGTTTTCCTACTAAGATCCCTGAGGGGTTTCCTGAGGGTTGGTCGCACGATGACAACCAGAAACACCTCTGGTTACCGGAGAATGAAAAACAAAAACACATAAGGACGGAAAGAAGGAAGATGCAAGGACTCACCAGAATGCGAAAACGAAGGTTTCTGAAGGACTTGGAGTGGTTCCTTTCTCAAGAAGGTTCAGAAGCAAGAAGGGGTTTGTTGGTCTAAACTCCGGTGACGACTGATTGGTAGACGACGTGACAAAGGGGGTCTCCAACGAAGTTTTAGGCAAAAGCTCTCTGAGTTCGAAATGGTAAAAGTGTGGGAAAGAGAAAGATAGCCCGTTTATATAGTACTCATCCCCATTATTAGGCACTAATCACAAAGAGGCGCATTTAATGCGCACGACCTCCTAAGCGATAAAAAACGGCTGGAAGCAATGATGGAGTGGTTGGGGCAGTTGTAGAACCCTTCGTCTCCTTACAACGCGTGTCCTCGGCATCAGAAGATCGAAGGCTGGGGGGCAGTTGATGGGACATTTTCAGACACTCCCAAATGGTGACACGTGTACTCGACGTTAATGAAGACTCTCCCGCTCTGATCCCGACACGTCTTCGTCGGTTTCCAACTCCCTGCCCCGAGGATGCTATTCACAGGGATCAAGGATCCCCAAACCACTATGGACCGACACGTATTCCTCGACAGTTGGGTATATCAGTTCTAAATCATGCTAGTCCCTCGACACCGAGGTGTATTTATCCGCGTGGGCGTTTCTGCTCCTGTAGAGGCTATTGATAGACAAATCACTAGCCTAGGCTAGGCTAGACTAGCCATCATGACCTCGTCTTACTCAAATGGTGTCATGAGGCACAAGAAAGTAGAAGGTTCAACCAAAGGGGAATGAGCACATGGTGTATTGTGTCAGATTAAAGACAAAAAGACCAAAATACTCTTGTTGACACACGACTTGGGAAAGCAAGTATTTAATGCACTCTTCCCTTGATGAGACATCATTTAATGCATGAGAGCTTGGAAGTGAAAGGTAATAAATGTTCAAAGCCTGGGCATTTAATACACCCCCGCCGAGGAAAAATCATTAAACGTTCGACAGACTGAGGAGAAAGTATTAGTTGCTCGGGGTCCCGAGCAGTAAAGAATAAAAACATTACTCATAGAAATTGGTGTGCTCGGAGGGGATACGTCGAAAAACACTCCAGCGCCCTTCTAACCTGTTTTTCTCTGTTTCCAGGTGCCTCCCTTAGCCTCCCAGGATCACTCAGGCGACTCATAAAAATGATTCATTATCCCTCCTTAGGCCACCTTCGGCCCTCACAACCTGTTTCAAGTAGCAAGATCGACGACCCGATTGACGGACTCGTGTTCACCACGGAAAAAATCTGTTCTAGTGTTTATATTGTGCAGGATCGTGCACGCACAATAGGTTTAAGCTACAAAACGTTCAAGCTTTGTGCTATACATTTTCTATCTACTTAGTTGACAAATTAAATAGGACAAACTTCCAACTCTATCCTGAATATCAAGTTNCTCCAGCGCCCTTCTAACCTGTTTTTCTCTGTTTCCAGGTGCCTCCCTTAGCCTCCCAGGATCACTCAGGCGACTCATAAAAATGATTCATTATCCCTCCTTAGGCCACCTTCGGCCCTCACAACCTGTTCCAAGTAGCAAGATCGACGACCCGATTGACGGACTCGTGTTCACCACGGAAGAAATCTGTTCTAGTGTTTATATTGTGCAGGATCATGCACGCACAATAGGTTTAAGCTACAAAACGTTCAAGCTTTGTGCTATACATTTTCTATCTACTTAGTTGACAAATTAAATAGGACAAACTTCCAACTCTATCCTGAATATCAAGTTCCATTTAATAGAGGGCTGAAGGCTCTACACCTTTGACTCCACAGACAACCGTNACCTTCGGCCCTCACAACCTGTTTCAAGTAGCAAGATCGACGACCCGATTGACGGACTCGTGTTCACCACGGAAAAAATCTGTTCTAGTGTTTATATTGTGCAGGATCGTGCACGCACAATAGGTTTAAGCTACAAAACGTTCAAGCTTTGTGCTATACATTTTCTATCTACTTAGTTGACAAATTAAATAGGACAAACTTCCAACTCTATCCTGAATATCAAGTTCCATATAATAGAGGGCTGAAGGCTCTACACCTTTGACTCTACAGACAACCATAAATATTGCAGAATTAAAAACAGGAGGAAAGAGGAGATGAAGGAAGTACGATATAATACATATTAAGATCAAAGCTGCTCCTGCTCGAGATCGAGAGAGAGAGAGAGAGAGCATGCGTTTGGCATTTGAAGGGAATTCGGATTGCAAAACAGCTAGGGCCTAGTGGTGCTTTTGGAAATGGGTCGGTTCGGGTCATCTTTGAGACGGGTTGATCACACGCCTATTAGAATCTCAATTCCATCTTCTTCTTTTTTGATAAAATACACTTTTAGTCCCAAAAGTATTTGTTAAATGTTTATTTGGTTNTCAAAGCTGCTCCTGCTCGAGATCGAGAGAGAGAGAGAGAGCATGCGTTTGGCATTTGAAGGGAATTCGGATTGCAAAACAGCTAGGGCCTAGTGGTGCTTTTGGAAATGTGTGGGTTCGGGTCATCTTTGAGACGGGTTGATCACACGCCTATTAGAACCTCAATTCCATCTTCTTCTTTTTTGATAAAATACACTTTTAGTCCCAAAAGTATTTGTTAAATGTTTATTTGGCTCTTAATATTCTAATTATGTCTATTTACTATTTAGTCCCTGAAGTTTCTAATTTATATCTCTGTGGTCAAATACCAAACGTATGTCAAAAAATTGTTAGTCTATGCTCATGAGCCAATCAAGTGGATCAAATAAACACAAACTAAGAACTTATAAACTACATAGACACAAATTAAAAATTTAGAGACCAAATAAACACAAAATTAAGAGTCACATGAATGACGCATGACTAGAACCATCGATTTTCTGATGGNATACCAAACGTATGTCAAAAAATTGTTAGTCTATGCTCATGAGCCAATCAAGTGGATCAAATAAACACAAACTAAGAACTTATAAACTAAATAGACACAAATTAAAAATTTAGAGACCAAATAAACGCAAAATTAAGAGTCACATGAATAACGCATGACTAGAACCATCGATTTTCTGATGGACATTTGAAATTAAACCACGTAGATACAAATTAAGCAACTTATGGACCAAATAGACAAAATTGAAAGATTGAGGATCAAATAACCAATAACAAAAAATATATTTTACCCTTTTTTTTCCCTGGAACTGGCAGTTCGATCCATTAACTACACGGTTTCTTTAAGTGCAAATTCTGACTTGAGAAAAATTTCTACTTTTTCTGCTAAATTGATGGCACTAAACGGCAAGCAAGATTATTTAACATGGCCTAAAATAGCAAAAAAAATTGATGCTAGATATGTCTTTGAATTACACCATCCATAAACAAAACCATTTTCATATCTAACCACTTACAATGCACTCCACTTAATATCGGATCCTAAATTTAAAGCATCCGCACCAAGCCCACCACCGTTCAATACCCCAAAAAAAAAAAAAAAAAATCCATCCTACTGCCCCTTCCTTGCCTCCGGTGGCGAGTGGTATTTCCCAACCTTCAAAACCACCAAACAGAAATAGGGAAAAATAGAAAACCTCAAAAACCTCCTACTGATATAAGACTTGCATGCACAAGGATTTAAATACAGCTAACTGCATGTGTTTTTTTTGCGAGAGTCCTCATACCACAAGTTTGCAGCTCTCTGTAAGTCTTCAGGCTGGCTTCCTATTTGCAGCCCCTTGAAAAGAAAGCGAAAAATTATGCACCGACTACACCAGAGACCCATGGAACAATAACTGGTGCATTTGGGTGAGCATTTCTGTAAGAGTCTGAATATTTGTTCTTAAAATTAAGTCTGGGTTTTTCCGCCTGCATTTTGAAAATGCAAAACAAAAATGTTAAGATGTGGCTAGATATAAATAAGAAACGAAGGCCAAATGCAGATCTAGGGTGGCCAAAGCTTACATATTTTAGCCAGCATTCCCCATGTTTGTGTTCATAAATATCTGGAGAATAGCACCCTGTCTCATATGGGCAATAAACCCATATATTGCATTTATTTTCACCCTCTTTGGCATGTTTAGCATGATCCAAGCAAGCTTGGCAACAGTCATAAGCGGATTCTTTATGATGGGTAAGGCCCCATCTGACAGCAGCACCATCATAATCTGTATGCAGTTCACCATGGCATTCAGGAGGTAGCGGCCTGCCAGGTAAAATTTC